CCCCTTCCTTCTTAAAAGAGATGAATTCCTTGTTACTGCTATACCTTCTAACTGCAATGGTTATAATCTTTGGGAGATCCTGGTCCTCTTTGAGACTATTAAGAAAGGCATGCATATATGCACAGTCTCACACTCTATAAAATGCAAGTGGTACTGAGTTTCAGAGCTTCGTAATGAATTATGGAACTTTATAATGAATGGACTGGGCAGATAATACCCGAACCTTCTGATTAAGCTTAATATCATAAAAAGACACTAGGCAATATATGCTTCCAGATGGGAGTCAGTAGAAAAGAAACAACATCACTTATCACTTATGTAGTATTCTTACTAAAAAATGTTTAAGCTGAATCTAATGAGTTAGAATTAGAATCAGAAAACCATTTCAGATTGTGGGACATCTTATAAACAAACCAGTCTGAACTTTTTAATGACAGGGTCATGAAAGAAACACAAAACACACACACACACACACACACACACACACACACACACACACACACACCCACACAGAGAACTCTAATCCATTAACTAAAGAGAATGACAACTAAATGCAATAAGTGATTCTTAATTGGATCCTGCATTTTAAAAAAAGCTATCAACATTTTCGGGACAATTGATAAAGTATTTTGAAGTTTTATGATGTTTGCAACATATTTTGAAATGGTTCAGCAATAAGGATGCATATTTACAGAGACAAAGAAAATATGGAAATGTTAATTTAAAAAATGTTAAAAACTGATGCACGTAAATGAAGGGTACGTAGGTATTCATTGTAATCTTTCTTTTTTGAAATTTCCATTTTGAATTTTTTTAAAAAAATAATAGTGGATACATGTACAATTTAACTAAAAAAAAAAAAAAAAAAAGAAGGAAATGAAGGAGAGCCAGCCAGGTTAAGAGGAAGAAGCAAGGTATCAGTCTCAGACCCAGAGAGACAGAGATGCTTGAGGGGCTGACCAGACCTCAGACCCTCCATTGCAGTGAGATGTATTTACGGTGTAGTGAGTCCAAAGAGATTAAAAAGAAAAAACCCATCTGTGATGATTTTTTGATTTTCTTTAGAATTTGCCAAACAAAGTTCTATGAGAATAGAAATACTCTGTAATTAAAAAATAAGAGTAGTGTGCCAGAACTTATCCAAGGAGAGTTGATTAGTGCAATTAGCAATATAACCAGGAAGAAATCGTTTCAAGCAGTTTAAAAAATATTTGGATTTTTAAATTGAGTGAAAATTTCATATGCACAAACAGTTAATAGAAAATAATCTTATAAAAGAATTAATAATAAATGTCTTCAGAGTCTGGCATCCTACTTGATTAGGCATTACTGAAATGCAGGAACATAGACAATTTTTAATGCAAAACTCCTGTGGTTTTCCATCGTGCAGCACTTCCAAGTTCCTTCTTGGGCACGGGCTCTGTGTGGTCATTCTCTGTCCCACCGCTCGCCATTCCACATGGCGTTTACTGTGTGTTGCAGGGGCTCTTGTTTCTTTATTCTCTGGATCCTTAGGATACTCGGATATTCTTTCAGCCAAAAATGATGCTGAGAAAAATATTTGCCTATCTTGTCCTCTCAAAAACAAGAGGGGGTGGGGTGGGGTAAGGTGGTGGTGTTTGCTATTGACCAGAGCACAGAAAAATGAAGAGAGGTAGCAGCATCTGGATTCCATGAGACAACTTGGACGAGATACGAAGCAAGGGTTGTCTTGCTGGGTCAGGTTAATGCAGAATGCCACCGTGCCCAGACAGTCAGCCCTTTCTAAGTTTGGACAAAGAAAGATTTCATGCTTTCTAGGCTCTTGTGGCAGCCACAAATGTATTTAGTGCATTACGTAAAATAAAATGAAATCAGAGTTATTTAGTTACTCTTTAATTAGCATTACATTAAAATGCATAAATCCATTCTTATCTACTTCCCTCCACCAACTGCTACTTTGTCAAATTCAAATGATCACTGGAAGTATTATTACCACCTATTCACAGGCTTTCAGGGCCACCACAGCTTTGTGAATAAATCAGAGAAGGCAACATTTCTTAAATCAAAACTCACTTAGGATTCAAAAGGCAGGATATAGCACAGAATGCATTAGTCTGTCTACTGGAAATAGAAAACTTGGGAAGGATGGAAGAAGGAAGTTAGCTGTAGTTCCATGGTTACCTTGGCAACTGTGGCACAATCATTGGGGCAGAAATTAATTTTTATGCCATAATATAATCCGACAGAGGAAGGAAGAGTGTGGAGGAAGAGGAAAAAAACATTGGCTGGATTTAGAAGCTCAGAGGGCCAGCTGGGAAGGTTACAAGTCAATATGCTGGGAGTTTGAGCTACTAATCACCAATTGTCTTTTTGTTGTTTTTACTGAAATATTAGCATTATGCAGAGACAGCCATGACTCCCTACCCCTTAATAAAGAACAAACACTGCACTAATCTGGCTCGGGGCTTCTGCTGATCATCTGATCTTAGGAAACAGAAAAAAAATATTTTGAGTTTCTGGAAGGGACAAGGAATGTTGTGGTTATAAAAAACACTCAGTTCAGGGTGATCTGGCAACCAGTCTCTTCCCTGTAGATAAAGTATGTAGACTCTGTTGGGGGCAGAGACCAGCCACCCCACAGAGTGTCCCTGACAAAACTGCCTGTTAGGGAAATGGTGCTGATGCTGCGAGTGGGGCCTCAGGTCCCCACAGCTCCACAGCCCTGCACGAAGTTAGGCCACAGGATCAGGGTGGGAGCTTCCAGGGACCTGAAAGGAAGGCTTGTAGAAAATCTTGCTGTGCATCCAGAGTCCCCAAATGCACTTGGTTCTTAGAAAACACATTACAGAGAAGTCGGCCAGCTGACAAGACAGATAAGTGGAATAGTACAAACAGTATCTCAGTCTCAAAACCTGAATTCCAGTAAAGCTTGGGCAGCAGGTCCCAGGCAGAACTGTGACACACTTAGGAGGCTTCCTCCAGAGACAGGAGGTCAACGAGTAGTCCTTCTCTCACACTGTGGCCAGCCAGGTCCACGGGTCATGGCTAGTAGCAGTCAGGGTTAAAAGCACACGAAGCGAGAGGGGAACATCTCTCAGGAGTCACCGCTTGTCCCCACCTCGCCTGCTCCCGGAAGGAGGTGTGCCATTTCGGCCAGGGAGGTCTCCCTGCTGCCCGTCAGAACTCCAGGAGCAAACAGCTTTCTTATGTCTTCCGAAGGGTGAGATGGGGCGTCAGTGACACATCCTGCTCGTCATCTCTTTCTGGAAAGTAGGAAGAGAAGGATGGTTAGGAGAAACTAAAAGCAGACCAATGACTTGCTTAAAGATTCTGTGAATATCCCCAGGGCCTCTGGAGCCAACAGTGGGTTGCAAGCATGGCCCATGAATAAGGCTTAGTGTGCAAATGTATTCCGTTTTTTTTGTTGTTGTTGTTGTTTTAAATCAAAGCAATGTTTAAAAATCTGGCTTGCTTGCCAAAAACACAGGTTGCTTGCTTTTCTGAAATATTGCAAGATCTGGAGCCACTGGGCGGCTGGAGTGGAAGAACAACTGTCCTCTTCAGATGGAGAATATGCTGTCGAGTTTGTCCCAGTCCCTGCCACTCCTGGCTGCCTCTCCATCAACAATCAAGTACCACTTATAGGTTGAATGTCATTGGATTTAGACTGCTGTTTTTCTTAGAATACAATTTCTTTTTACCCATGTTTCCATTAAAGATAGACAAATGAAGGACGCCCTAAGTGGGTATAAGTCAAGAAGAGCAAGAGAGAAGATGTTGCTTAATGGAAGAATATACCAAAGGCTCTGACATGCAATCACCCTGCCTTTCACCCATCTACCACCTGCCAGGCTCTTGTGGGTATTTACAGCTCCTAAATGTGCCCCCTATTATCTTTCTCTGGACCTCTGCACAGGCTGAGACTCTTGTCTGTGGCCTGCTCCTACCACATCCTGCCCTCTTTCCTTGGCTAATTGGCAATGATTTTCCCAACTCAGGCAAGAGGACTTTCACTTCTCTGGCAGACCTTCTCACACTTCCATCCCACCCACTGTGCAGTTAGCTGCTCCCTTCACTTGTGTCCACCTAGAGTCTTGCATGCAGTGAGTTGGTTTGTACATCTATGTGTAGGCAGGGACTGTAGGCATGTCTGTTAGTCTTACTCCACTGTGAGCTACTAAGTGTCAAGATACTCATTCAATCACTACATGTTCTTTTATCTTGTAACCCCCCCACCCTTAGCACAGTGCCTTGCATGGTAGTTCCTCGGTGGTTCCTCTTTTATCATCAGGAATGACCTGGATAGCAGCTGGTAAGGAGCCTCATGCCAAGCAGCATTCTGGAGGACATATTTAATGTCATTTCAATTAGATGAATGAGCTGCATCCAAGTTCCAGCTGCTACATCTCTTTCCCACTGACCCAGCATCAACACAGCATATAAAATAGGAAACATCTGAGTAAAAGCAGCTTGAGCATGGGAGTGCCCAGGGACTCAGAGACTCTTAGAAAATATACCAACGTGTTGGTTAAAGAACATACATGGCAGACTCTAGATACTTTTGCACCCCAATAATGTTATTAAATACAGACAAGGGTGTACAGATACATATATTGAAAAATTAAATGAGCATCTACTTAGGCTTATAGACCAGGTGCCTGTGAGAGGAGGTTGCCGTTCACATGAAGCTACAATCTATTCGGGAGAAAGATGTAGATCACAAGATAAAATCCAATGACATAAATGCAAATATCCAGAGGAGGGGAGGCCATGAGGCAAGGTAGAACCAAATTCACTTAACATTTTGATCCTCTTCTTCCCTCACTACCCCTGTGTGACCTCTCTGTGCCTTCAGGTCTTGGCTGGAATGCCCCTTCTTAGAGATGCCTTCCCTAATCTCCAAGATTGAGCAAAACTCTATCTTCTACATTCACAACTGGAACAGTCTACTATTTGTTTCATTCCTGACTCCCAAATTCATCCCATGTCAGATCCTGTAAGAGCCACGAAGTAAGAGGCTGTGCCTGCTGTTTGCTGCTGTATCATCAGTTCCTGGTAATTGACATTCAATAAATATTAGTTCAGTCAAGCAAGAAGTGGGCCCTCAGTCTCCTCATCTGTAAAATGGAACAGTGACAGCTACCTGAAAAGGTGATCGGAAAAGGTAAACATACTAACATATGCCTGGACTCAATACACATGAATCCCCTTTCCTGATCTCTTCAGAAGCACAGACATGGCAGCAGACACTTTGTGCTGGGGGTTTAGAGGCGTGAGAGCACTTCTCTATAATATGCCCACTGAGAAGAACTCCAGATTTTGAGAAGATGGAATCTGACAGGTGAGGGTGGGAGAAGGGGGACTGGAGAATAGAGGTTATGGCTGAAGGGAAGAGTGGCTGAGGTGGAGCCTGCCAGGGATACAGTGTTGCTGTGGCTGGAGCAAAGGGGCCGGTGTGGGATGGTGACAGCAGGGGTGGGGAGACATGTAAATGCACGATTGTTCAAATAAGGACCCATGCAGCTGGTGTGAGGAATGAAAACATATGATGACAATCTTAAAATTAATTTGCTGTTCTTTTGTTAATCTTCCATGGGTTCTTGTGTTTTGGTTACCTTTTGATGAAAGAGGTGACAGAGAGAGAGAGAGAGAGAGAGAGAGAGAGCGAGCGAGAGAGAGAGCGCGCGCGAGAGCGAGCGAGAGAGAGAGCGCGCGCGAGCGCGAGCGAGCGAGCGCGAGCGCGCGAGCGCACACACGTGCGAGGGAGAAATAATGGGATGAACACAATTTTGGCTTTATAGCTAATTCTGTAATTATTTGCAATGGGTCAATACTTTTGGAAACAAAGGACCTCACATCTGTTAAGCATCTATGAGATGCTAGGTGCTTGAGGGTGGCGAGGGTGTTGCATCATTACATCTATAAAACTCTGAGAGAAAGAACTAAGACTTCAAAGAGGAATTTGGGCCACAGAGCAGTAGTCAGCTCCAGGTGAACAGGTAGCTGCAGAGCTTAAACAGTAACATTTGTTTCCATCAAACAAAAGTCTGCTATCCCTCAGTTTCAGTGTCTGGTGCTGCCCTACAGATATTACATCATATAACCCTTACCCTAGTCCTGTGAAGTAACATTTGCCCTCCTTATTGGACTGATGAGGAAACAGGCTCAGAGGCGAAGAGTAATTTATCAAAGTACACAGTTAAGTGGCAGGAGTGGGATTTAAACTCAGGTCTAAGTGCCAAGGCAGGCTCTTTCCTCTCCACCATGTGATTGTGATGTAAAGCATCTGGGACATTCTTATGAATATACATTCAGATGATATTGATTTTGTGGCTATATTAATTACAGATGGTTAACAGTAATTCCTGAGTTTTCAAAATGCCAAAGAGATATTTTTCCATTACTCAGAATGATGCCACTTTGAATTACAAGTGCAATCGGTAAATGCTAAAACAAATCTGTCACTAAAAGACTAGATACTAGAAGTATGGAAAAGTAAAAAAAAAAATAATAATAAAGCAGAAGAGAGAACAATTCGAGAGAGAATATGGGACTTATCCAAAGCCACTGAGTTAGTCTGTGAAAAGCCGGGACCACTACTTTTCTTACCACACCATGCAGGCTCAAAATTCAGAAAAAACTGTGTAAACTAACTTTCTTATAGGGAAAAAATAGTTGAA